CTCTCTTCAGCTCTTCAAGGTCTTGTTCTCTTGCGTTGCTTTAATGGTGTGGTGTCCAGATCTTCACCAATCATTGGTCCAATTTTAGTGTACGCGTTTTTTTTAACCACCACAGCCAACTGGTTGCCCAGGGAAATTTTGGTGTCGTTCTGGAGGACTTGTTTCAACACTGGATTGTTGCTTTGCCTTCCAATGCCCTTTTGATGGCCAAAATACTGCTCCAAGTCATCTTGATTGAAGTCACGGCCATTTACATAGTTAATGCCTTTGGACAAGAGGTGCCGCACCGCTCCAGTAAAACCATTAACTGTGATGTAAATACCATTTCTAGTTTCATCTGTGATTGTCATTGATTTTCTGTTTGCTTTCTTAAAATTTCGAGGTCTTGACATGACTTCCTCCTTCCAGTAATCAAAATAAGTGAGAACGTCTTGCAAGAACTGGAACCGACTGTCATTCATGTCATTGTAGGGGTTGAATTCAGGATTGAAGGATTGTTTGCCTTGCAGTGAGGGTCTCCCATTGAGGCAGTCAGAAAAATTGTCCATCAATTTGATGAAATTGATCGTCTCCCTGAAAGAGACTGGATCGACAAGTTGAAGCTCGCTGGCGACGGCCTCACTCATGACTAGGGCTGCGAAGAACACTTTTATTTTAGGGAAGTTGTCTAGCTCCACATGTCCTTTAGTGAGTTTGCAGCACCTCCTCAAGGTTTCCTTCTTGCTCCTTTCGTACAGTGCTGTGATGGAACTCCAACTAATCTCTTGTCCATTTTTCCACAAGTTATGTGAATAAAAATTGTTCCTCAGACATTTGATCAAGTGCGGCGCATCAGAGATGAAAAACAAGTCTCTATCTTCATCTCCAGAGAAAATGTTTTTTGTGCTGAATGGTGGCCGTGTCCCATCAGCATCAGGATGTTGCATCATTTTGAAGAAGCTCCGGTTTGTTGTTGCACCATCGCACACCAGACACAAAACTTTGACAGACCTGTTCTCCAGTTCTTCGATAACTGAAAAGGAAAGAAAAGTGAAAGTTATCAATGAATCCTCACAATTAACACGGTCTATAGATAATTTTGAAAGCAAGATTAATAACAGAACAGATCTCTTTATCATGCAGCAGGACAAAAGATGCAAACAGACAGTAGCAGGGCTGAGAGAGGAATCACAAGTGCTATTTAGTATATGCTATTACCTGCCCATGTTCTTCTGTAAATCTGGTCTGCTGTTGCACTTGTCACTGCATATATAGCAACAGCTTCTTTTAGACTTTTTCCTCCAGTGATGTTTTTTGCCATGAAGACGAGGACTTTTTTGGCCAACTTTGGCTTGTGGAAGGAGTTGTTCGAATCAAGTCTCTCAATCTCTGCCTCTACTTCGTCCAAATTGGTATATCCGATGAGTTGCCCTGACTTTGAATCAAATACGACTCCTTCTCTTATGGTCATCTCATCGAACATAAGTGATACATAATTTCCCTTCCCATGTTCAGGCATATTTTTAACCAGCTTGTCAATATTGTCACTTCTGATTCCAAGATGTTCCGGATTGATGTGAGTATAGTCCTGAAGGGTAGTCTTGCAGGGAAAGTGTACTATTTTTCTGAATTCATCATAGCAGCCTGGCCCTTTTGACTCCAGTCTGATGGCCAGTCTAACCATCATTGGATGCCAGCGCATCCCTGAAGCACTTTTGCAACTCAGTGATTTGCATTGCATTTCCCAAAAGAGTCTTTGCATTTTTGTCATTTTGTCTTTGTGTTTTTCCATAATTTTTTCAAATACTGAGCCTAAATCTTTTAAGTCGATT